CGCTCTTCCCCACAAAATCATAGCTTCTTAGCTGCATCTTTTCCTTCATGTTTTTAAAGCCATGGAGGATCAATTCCTATAAAATTAATGACAGTAGAGGAAACATGAGTTTATCCAGAAAAAAATCTATGTAGTATAATTACACTGTCTTTGCATGGGGTTCCCAGCAACCCTGTATACCCCCTGTGCCTTCTGAAATGAGAAAACTCTAACAAGCAGGAACATATTGAAAAACTTCTGCTCAGCCCCAAGTTTTCAAAACTATCTTTCCTTTTACATATGCTGGAATCTAGGATTTATCATCTACTTTGTGCATGTACATTACTAAATTATGAAACATGATGCGCATGCAGAAACATTGTTCACTGTCTAAATATGCTCACAGAGGTCTGAGCTGTGCCACTGAGATAGTGCATCTTGATTATGTATGTGTGCTTCTCCTGTGAAAGCTTTTTTGTCTAGGGTGTCATGCTGGCATCCATTGTCCCAGCAGCAAAGGCTGCCCAGTGCATCTGGGAAACATGCATGTGTGTGTGTTCTTCTACCCACCATTTTTAGGTCATGATGAATCACTGGGGATTAGGAAAGGTATAGCTCATTACTTACCCTGATAAAAAGGATGGCAGTTTTAGCTGGCCAGACATACAGATGAGGGAAATGGTTTCTTGTGATTTCTCATTTAAGCCTCAGATGATATAAATTATATAAATATTATTACTGAAGAATGCATTTGAGGGTCAGTCTCATGGAAGTTAAAGAGCCTGATCAAACTCCCATGAATAAAAGTTTCCATTAAGTGCTCAAGAAGAACCTCCAGAAGGGTGAAAAGCTTGGTGAAAAGCTACAATGAAGAAGAACATGTGCAGATGAAGGGAATAATAATGCAATTGGCATTAGGGTACATCATGTTAATCATTTCCGAATTAGAGGAGGTACTCAGCTACTAAGCAACAATAGCAGGGATGCCCAGCTACCAAGCAAAAATGCAGTCAGTCCAAATGACAGCAGAGAGCCAGTTAAGTGAACCCAATGACAGAAAGTCTGTATTAATGCAATTGGAGAGACTGGCCCTGGTTTGTAAACAAATTGGTTGTAATAAAATGAACTTGAGAATGGGAGGCATAATGTCTGAAGAACACACCCAGGGCAGTTCTCTCTTGCTCTCCTTTCCCCAATATCTTGGTCTTTAGCACAAGGGCAGCAGCAAGCAACAGGTACAAGACATTTTGGAAATTGTGGTTCTCTACAGCTGCCATGGAGTTCACCACTGCTGGTGGGAGGTGGGGCAGGAGGTGAGACTTTAACTTGCCCTTTTTTGCCCCTAAAGCCTATACTGAGAGAGCAAAGAAAATGGATGACTTTGGGGGAAAAAAAATTGGAGTCCAACCCCCCCAGCAGAAAACTTCACTTCCACTCTACAAAACTATGATTCCCAGAACACCTTGAGCTCCATGATGCACAATGCCTGAGCCAGCTGCTTCTTGCAGCCCTCCTTGCAGGCAGAACATGGGACAGGAGGGTGAGGTGCCCCCTCCTTGTTCTTTTGGGAGGGTGCTCCTCCTCGTTCTTTTGGCCTCCTCCCCCTTGGTAGTACCTGAGACATATGCCCTGCCTGTCCACCCCATGTTACACTATTGCTGTGAATGGTGCTGGCATTCAGCCTTCCTTTGATGCCACATGCTGTTATTTGAATGGTCAGTGAAAATCAAGGTCACTTTCAGAACACCTCAAAGTAATTGTTAACAAGCTAGCTTTTTTGAGACCTATATTTATAGATGAACCTTGTGTAACTGTCAATGAACTGAATTATGTTGGTACATTTTTAAATATTACTCACGACTTGCTAAGGCTAAAACCCAAGCTGCTTTGTGGCTGTCAGCAGGGAAGACGTGTTTTACAAAATATCTGCTGAGAAAATGAGGTTTGACTGAAATGGAAAAGTGACCTTGCTGTCACTTCAGTGTTTTAATGTAAGAAATAATGGGTCATTGTCAGAGATGTGCTCCGATGTACTGCTTCAGGGATAGCATCCTGCACTGATACCAAAATCAGCCATGTGAAAGATCTCAAATATGCTAGCAGTGTTATCCTGCTTGAGTACTGGCCAAACACTAACAGATGGATGTGAAGAGTAGGATAAGAATCAGCTGAACTGCAACAGAATATTTGCCAGTGTTGAGGAAGGATTAAAAAAAAAACCCAGAAAATGTTGGTAAAATGACGAAGTTGCTGATATGGATAATGACTTCATGTATTCTACATGGCCAGTCAATGGCAGTAGATGATATAAACAGAGCAACTAGAGACGTGGTGTGTAATGCAGGACTTACGCATCATTTAGATGCCTACATCCAGAAATGCAATTTTCAACCTCTCTGCCTATGCCTATAAACACACACAAAAAAAGTGCCTGTTACTTTTGTGCCTAAATGTCATTGCCACGCATTGCAGAACTGTCACCATCTTGGCAATGCTAGTGAAACACCTTTCACATGTCTAAACTTGAGGATCCTCCATCTAGGTGTTCTCTCACACATTTCCACTAATGAACCCAATCCAGATAATATTCTTTAACGCATACCTACAGCACTGAGTTCTTCCTGAAACACAGTGGCCATCATTGCTTTTCTTCCCTCAGACCCCTGGTTGAAGGAGGAGGTAGTAATGGGGTCCTTCTATTATGTTATAACTCACTATTTAGAACATGCCAGTGAGATGCAGGAGATCTGGATTTAGTACCCTACCTTCATCCTGCACCAAAGGATGTGCATTGATTGCATTTTATATTTAATAGCCATTCAATAAAATAATGAAAAAGGCCTTAGAGGAGAGACCAGAACCCAGGTCTCCTCTCTTCCTAATTATGGACACCATAATTATGGGGCTGCAGTTTCACTTCCTCCTACTCCTATCTCTGTCCAGGTAAATTTTGAATTATTTTATACAAAGTGGCATAAATTCAGCGAAAGAGGTAGAGAGTGCTTCCAATTCAAAGTAACCTATAGCCAGATGAGGGATGTGTGTGGCAGACAGCATTGGACCTTCCAAATCCTGGCTGAGCTTTCTAACATGTGAACTATATTTTAAAAGAAAAGAAGAGACCCCTGCTCCATTTTTCAAAGGAGTGG